TCCCCAGCCAGCCATGGCAGCTGGGGAATTTTGGGAGTTGAAGTCCACTCATCTTAAAGTGGCCAAGTTTGGACAACACTGCCTTAGAGCTAGCTTTTCACATAAGTACAAAAGAAAAGTCAATGCAGCAAAAGTCTTCCTGCAGCTGATATAGGTGTGTTAAACTTGAAAATTAAATGGTCATGAGAATGTATCTGTTACTGAAATGAAGCATAAAACAAGCCCTTGACAGAATAATTTTTCAGCTCTGAAAAATGCAAATCCAGCTATTACTTCAACTTGTCAACCGCCAGCCCAGTCGCTTCAAACTGAAATATTTATGAAAATGACTGTTCTGCTTGTCCTTTTGGCACTGAATGAAATCTGTGGAGGTCAATTAAAGGCAAGGATATGACCAACCCTGCCACTTTCCAGAAGGAAAACTAATCTTAACCTCCTTATTCAAATTTCAGAAAAACACAGTCAATTTATTTAATCTAGGAAATAGTCCCTTGGAAAAAATAATAGTAACGTATACTTTTCCGTGGTTTGTGTTAACAAACCAATCCACTATTCAAATATTTGTACACGACTATTATGAGTATTCATAGAATGAAAGGAATGAAATAATTTGAAAAAAATATGGGAAAACCTTTTTGAAAATCACAATTTAAAAAGAATACCTCTAAAACTACAAATAATTAATAACGACAATAATCATCATCACAATTTAAAACTTAATACAGCATATCTGTGTATGGATACTGAAAAGTAAGCAAGAATAAGAGGGTTTTTTCCCAGCCTGGCAACAAAAAGAAAATAGTGAGGTGTAAAATAGTTCCTCTATTGCTGCATACATAATCCTCACAAATATTACTTTCAGCATCTTTCCAATCTAGAGAATCTGCAGGCAGTTTTCTCAAATAATCCTTCAAGAGCATCTCGTATCTTGGAATACGTTGTACAGGTTCCAGCATGTGATGTTGCAAAGTCAGATTTCCACAAACTTTCTGTTTCTAGAAAAAAGAAAGGAAACTGTTAATATACATCTTATACACTATTTGTTAAAATAGAGGTACAAAATTCATGTTTCCCAAAGGGCTACGCTGTTCCTGAAGGACCAAGCATTCTATCTGGGGATTCTTCTGCATTCATCCCTAACTGGGGAAGAAGCTTAGGTAGCAAAAATGACCACATGTAATTTTTCTGGGGTGCCCTAGGGCTCTTACTTTCACCTCGCTCCTATTCAACATCTACATGAAACCACTGGGTGAAGTCATCTGTTGATCCAGGGTGATCTGTTGATACCAAATTGTAAATGTCTGCCTCAGGTTGACCAAGTAATGCCATCAAGGTACTTTCCCAATGTCTAGAGGCTCTGAGAGTCTGGATGGGGAAGAACAGCTTTAGCTCAACTCTGGCAAGGCAGAGTGGCTATGCATTTAAAGGCCTCCTGGATCAGGAGACTTTCCACCTCGAACTCCAGATGGGGCTGCACTGCCCCAGACAAAATCCAGATGCTATTCAAGGTGCTGGTTATTCCCTATAAAGTCCTACATGGCACAGGACTAGGCTATTTGTGGCACTGTCGTCTGACTGTTTCTGCTCACTCCATCAGATCTGACAGGGTGGGCAAGCTCCAGGTCCCTTCTATGAAGTACCCTAGCTCCGTCAAGCAGCACCCAGAAGATGTACCTTCTCGGTCTTGCACCAGCCGTGTAGAACAGCATTCTGCTCTCCCCAACCCAAGGTCTGGATGGCCTAACCCTGTTAGCCTTCTGTAATGCTTTAAAGACCTGTCTTTTCCCTTGAGCACTGGGGGTGAGACGTTAGGCGAATCCAGTTGGTTTGTCTCTTGGTTGTCTGTCTGTTATTAATTTGTGAAATGGCATGGCTTTTGGGGGCCTTTTGCTTATTGTATTTGATTATAATTGTTTTTGACTATTTTGAATTGTTGGTTTTGGTTTGGTTTATTGTTAGATGCCCAGAGTAAATAACCAACCAGCACAGCCACTTATAACTGGGGTTATCTTGCATCAGTTATCCATGAACTAACAATATTCAGTCTAGAATACTTTAGATGCAGAATGCAGTGGCTTGAAGTTCTGTGGAAGTTATGGGGTTGGTTCATATGATACTTGTAACACTAGCTGCACTGGCTGCAGGTATTTTTCTAAGTCATTTTTTAAACTGCTGATTGCAGAGGTCAAAATCTTAAAGGATCTGGAGTTCAGTTATTTAAAGGGTCACCTTCATTCATACCACCCTGCCAGCACATAAAGATTGGCAGTGGGTGCCCTTCTTGTGTGCCTGTCTCTGAGAAGAAGGTAGTAGGAAAAGGCCTTTTTGTAACAGCCAACTGAAGTTCATCAAACCCTGTTACAAGGGGCCTCCTCTGCAGTTACGCTTTTTATGGGCCCGATGGTTTAGACCAGGGGTTCTCAAAGTACGGCCCACGGGCCAGATATGGCCCATCAGGGTCATTTATCCAGCCCGCCCGCCTGATTGGCCGCCGCTGCTGTCTTTCAGAAGCGGAAGTGTCGGGGCTGTGTCAGGAGCTGCAGGCGATGCACGAGGAGGTAGAGATCGCAGAGCCGGACTATTCTACATGACAGGGATGCCGGGTCCGGCAGCTCTCCTCCTCTCCTCATGTTTTTTTCAAACTATAGTCCAGCCCCCCAACATTCTAAGGGACCGTGAACTGGCCCCCTGTTTAAAAAGTTTGAGGACCCCTGTAAGAGTTATTTCTTTTAACAGCTTTTGATGGTATGTCCTTTTGTTATTGTCTCTAATTTTTATTAATTCGTTGTTGTTTTCATTTAACTTGAAAACCACCTTCTGCAACTTGTACTGCCTCAAGGAGGGTGGATATATTTTAAAGAAAGATAGAAACAAAACACAGCAGCCCATCAAAGCTGTACCTCCTTTCACATCAATTTTTGACATAATAATGAATTTACCAGTGCTGGTATTCATTATTTTAATAATTTTTATTCAGTGGAATTTTAGATCTCCTCATTTTTATTAGCCACATATGACCCATGCTTCAGAGAACATAAGAAGTTCACAATTTCATGGGTGGATTATTTCCCAGATGACTATATATATTTCCAAACTGTTTACTGAAGGCACTATACCATATAACAAAATGAAAAGCTGCTGACATGGTCTTGAGTGTAAAAAAAAAAATCTCAGTCTCTCCCTCTCTCTCTCTCTCACACACACACACATATTACCTGAATATCTTGTATAATAGATTTGAAGCAAGGTGATCTCTCAGTCCAAGTTTTCACCAGTTCCATTGCATTGTCAAAATTCTTCACGTACTCTCCATACATCTTGAGAAAAGGAGCCAATTTCTGCAGAATATCACTGATCCTGGGGTTGGTGTCCCTAAACAGGAAAAAGAAAAAAAGCAATGTTACAGGAATACCATGTTAAAAGTCAATTAATACTCACTATGAGCCTCATACTACTGTAAATTATTTGTCTTTTAGTTAGTTTGCTTGCCTTTTAATGCCTACTTCATGAGTGACAATTTTAAAAAAGAGTATTTCATAAGTTAGCCAAAGGATTTTCAAACTCAAGGTATTTTCCTCAAATGCGCTGATCACAATTTATTATGGATGTGTCAGAATCCTCGCATGATTTTATAATAGATTGTTAGATAGCTAGTTTAGAAATTGCTTTTTACATGCTGCGGTTCTGCCATTGTAAAAGGGGGGTGGGGGGAGAAAGAATGAGAAACCGTTAAAAGCAGATGGCTCCTTATCATAGGCACTGGAATGTGCAAGGTCGTACCAGCGAGGGAATCAGAAGACCAAGAACTAAGGGAAGTGAAGGGGGGGGGAGTAAGAAAAACAACTTTTGGCGCGCTTTTGCTCAGTCTTAGCAATGCTTTGGAACTGTACACTTATCCTCAATAAATGAACTTTCTTTTGAATCAATATTGGTTGCAAGGAAAGTTACTGGATTTGGGATCAACAGGTGGCAGCTCGTTACAGGATGTTTTTAGTGGAAACCTATCATGAAAAGCACTCCTCTTTTCAATTAATTAATTAGGCTCCCATCCTAGAACATTAGCCTCTAATCGTTCAGGAGACAATGCCTATACTTTATGAAAGATTTTGCCTACCATACTGATCATTTGTAAGTGAAACACAAGCAATTCTCAGAACTATAATTATTACACTACAACAGGAAGGTAAAATTGCACAAGGGCAATCTGTACAATCATTCCACCTTTGTGTCTGTCCACCCAATGGAGCCTCTAATAACATGGTGGGATCAGTGGAGTGACCAGGATTGAAGTATCTGACCTCGTTTTAAGTTGAAAGGAATTTGGATGATGGAGGGGACAGTTAAAAACAAAATAGGTGTGTTCAATTTAATAAATCTTCAATTTTTTAAAGAAATAGCAAAAATCTTGCTGCTGAAAATAATCAACGTTTTTGCTATTGAATTTTGACAGTGAAGTTTAGAGGATTGTGGGCCCCAGGTTTCTCACCCCACATTATATGAAGGTTTGGCAACTTGGGCCCCCATGTCCCCCCTTCTTCCTAAAATGTGGTCTGAGGGAAATTAGTGTGTGACTGTAATTAACAACTACACCCAAACTCAGAAAAATTATGATTCTGAACAATGGGGTTTTTTTTCCCCCTGAAGGAAGCCAAAGACAAACTTTAGCTTATGAATCCTGGGTTATTTTTAAATAAAACACAATTAAGCTTAACATCTGGCTTAATTCCAGCCACACCTTTCAACAGAGTCAAAAAGCAGAAAGAAATTTTAGAACTTCTTGTACAACACAAAATGAGAGAGGGGGGTTATGTGTCAACACATGATTTTCTGAGGCTGATCCCTTAAGGATTAACCAAAGTTTAATCATTACAACCAAATCTAGCCAATGTCTTGTTAATACAGTAATTGTTAGAAACCTGATGCTGTTTCTCTGCATCAAGAAGTGAAGTTTGTCTACTTCAGTTCTCCTCTGAAAAAAAGTCATTTGTTTGAACTTTGCCCAGTGTTGTAAGCATTTCAAAGACAGCTGAGCGATTAAAAGCAATTTAAAAGTACTACATAAAGATGCTATCAGATTTTTTTAAAAATCAGAAGTTTTCCTGTAATTATAATTTCAGCTTTGTTTAGATTGGATGAACACAGGCAAAATCTAGCCTATTATAACATGATACAGGATACAGATGCTTGATTGTCTTCCAATAGTTTATTTTGGAAAGACTCAATAGATGGGACTTAACTCTATATTTAGCACCAATTTAACCAATCTAATAAGCTTATTAATATTTGGGAAGAATGATTATATCTAATGCATGGGACAATTAAATGGTCAAATAATTACTTCTTCCTGACAAAAAGAATTCATAATTTTTGATAAAGGATTTAGTCAATTAATAAAATATACACATGTATTACTGAAATCTTATAAAAGGTATTCAGATAATAGCAGATCTTTGTCAATCAGAAATACTTCTCTTCCCCATCATAAAATCAGTATTAAATATTGCAAAAAATTACCCCCTGAACTCTATCTTTTCTCCATTCCTCTAATGTTCAGAAAGCACGAAAGAAAAATAGAGAAATAAAAGAAAGAACAGCTGTTAAATAAACTAAGATGTACATAACTCCATGTCAGAAAATCTACTCATTAAAATCAAGACTTGCCTATTTTTTTTAAAATGTTCACTATGCTGAAATCAAAAACAGCAATTAAAAAAAAAAATCAACTCATAGCTTGACCAAGTATATTTCTCTTAACATATTAAAACAAATATCCAGTTCCAGAGGCTGATCTTTTTTATTCTACAAATACCTGTTCCATAGCCATATGAGACTGATCTCATCTGTTCCAACACTGCCTTGTGGCAATCCATATATTCTTGATATCTGCACATATGGGAAGACCAGTTTTAAGGCAAAGGGATGCTATATTTTTATTTATTTATGTATTTATTTATTCGATTTGTATAACTGCCCATCTCGAACAAGAGACTGTGGGTGACGAACAATCATAAAATCAATTAAACCAATTAAAAACACAATACAAAAAGAAAAATTAACTATATCCTATCTTTCCAGGGCTTTTCATAAAGAATCTTTATGGATCTCAATTACACAAAGTTAAATGGTCTCTGTGGGGGAAAAAAATCCCAGAATCTCCTATGGGGATAGATGACATCCATATTACTTTTCAGACTGTTCTTCAATAATTTGCAACCATGCCTACCATTCTTGCATTCTTTTCTCAAGCTCAGGTAGCAAGAACTGACTATGGAACTGATTTATGGATGAAATATTGGAAAATATTTTATTAACAACTTCAGCTGGAAATGATCCCCGGTTAGCTTCATCCATTAGTTTGCAATAAAACACCTGCAGAGAATGGAAGACAGAGTCAGACATAAATGCATTCCTGTTCTCCTCACAGAACACAAGGTAAAATGTCTCTGGTGTTTATTGGTATATTGGGTAATCCATAATAATGTTTTAACAGTCCCCTTTTGTTATAACCTCCCTCTGTTTTAATGAACCAATACAGACCTATTTATTCTTGCCCTTCATTATAGCTCCTGACAGAAAGCAAAGGAAGGCTGTGCAGCGCTTCAGATGCAAAGGCATGAATGTGCATCAGAAGTAATGGGGGCGCCCATGTTGCATCCATCTGCATTTTCTTAAAACACCTGCATCCTCTCCCAAGATAGCATAGAAAAATTGGCAGACAGATGCTACACCCACATCACATCCCTGCACTCTCCAAAGAACCTGTTTGGCTGTGAATCCAAAGCACCACACAGCTCGACGGCATCATGACCTTCAAATGTGTCAGCAGTCACCTTTATTTTCGGGACACTATGCCATGTCCTGAACCAGCAAATGTTTAAACTATGTTCTGCTTCTTTTTTTTGCCTTTCCTTCAAAAGTCATCTTCCCTCACACTCACTGGTCATTTAACTCAAAATGTTCACTCCCATGTAACACTGATGAACAATCATATCAACCCCCTTTTTGTATTCCATTTTTATTGAACAGACTAGAAATGGGTTTACAGAACAACCATCACTTTACTGATTGACTGATTGATTTTTTGATTTATATAGCCACCTATCTCACTTTTACATGACTCCAGGCTAGTGTTTCTGAACCTTAGCAGCTTCAAGATGTGTGGACTTCAACATCCAGAATGCTGGCTGGGGAATTCTGGGAGTTGAAGTCCACACATCTTGAAGCTGCTAAGGCTGAGAAACACTGCTGTAAGTGGTATTATTTTACACAGTTTGGAATGCAGAACAATTTACCAGCTGGCCACATTCTAATGTAAGGCCTTATGACCCCTATGGCTTCCTCCATCAAACCATCATGAGGTGTGGAGGAATTTTTGTTTCCATCTGAGACTAACTCAGCTTTACTTACTGTGTAGTTAGTCTTGCTATCAGCTTGCTAAAATAAGTTAATCTAACTACAAACAAGAGTAATATGCTTTATCTGGATTTGGAGGCTACGCAATTAAATTCTTAGCAACAGTACAAAAGAGGTTTGTCATTGTCTTTTTTAGTTTTTTTTTTTTGGAGGGGTATCTGTAACTTTGGGAGTCCCTTGTAGTCTCTCGTTCAAGGTTAACTCTGCTTAGCTTTTTCAAGATCATAGTCTGCTAGAGACTGACACATGCTGTGACCAACCAATAATGGAAGATGAAGTTTTTTACGATATAAAAAGAATTCCACTTCCTCAAATAGTTTTTTTAAATAACATTAGCCAGTTAAAATCCCAAGCGCACTTGAATACAAACGTATTTTTGTGCCAGAGGAAGTTTCAAGCTACTTTTGTAGCTGTCTGACCTAGGAGAAAGGTAGTGCAATGGAATATGCAGCCTCAAGACTCATTCTTAGGTAAACCATAGTTGAGCTTTATGTCAAAGTACAGCCTTAACCTCAATCTTTACAAAAAACTTAGGAGTGTATTTTTCTACCAATACTACTGATGAACACAAAGCTATAAATTTTGATCCAACAAACCAACAGATTTACAATTAGGAAACTGGTTTCAGTGACTGTAAAATCTCCTTTTTAGTAGTCCATTTAGATTCCTGGTGACTTCATGGACACATCTATTGTCTTTTCCTAGCATCAATACAGAAATGGTTTGCTACTGACGCCTTCTAGAATGTTTAAAAAACTTTCCAGTCTAGCCTGTAGCTCAAGTATTTACTAGTAGTCTTCCATCCAAGTATAGCCAGGTCCAGCCCTGATTAGATTTCTGAGATGAGCCAAAGTCAACTAGGTGTTGCCACACAGCTGCTCAATATTATGTTATGATACTTCTGAAAATGTAATATAAAATTTATAATTTTTTTAAAGGGCAAATGTAATAACACAGAGTATCTAATTCATGTGCCTCAATATTTTTAATGTGCCTTGGAACTGCCATTTATAGTATTCTCTATAAAAGACATAACATATGGCTTCATTTAGGCAAAATAACAAATTATTTTCCACTACATGAGCAAACTTCAGATGTTCACATCACCTCCTTTTCTCTTCAACAATTTCAAAGAGGTTAAAACAGATATGTTAGGACAAACTCCAAAAAGTCCCCAATTCTAGCACTTCTACAGGGTGCAGCTTGGAAAAGACTTTATTAAACTATGGTTTGCTAAAAACAAGCAAAGAAGAGATTGAAGAGAAAGACATCTGGATAAGACTAGCTGAAGAAAAATCAGCAAAGGCATTGGAAATCTGGAATGGGAATATCAATCAGAGAAGCTTTGGACAGGATTTAGAAATGCAGGATTAGGCAAAAGACTTTAAACAGAAAGTGCAGGCAAATGGAAAAATGAGAGGTAGATAGATGGAATACATGGGATAAAGTTGTCAGGCACCCTGAAAGAAGGATAGGAAAATGAGCTTCTATTTAGGAAACAGAGAAGCAAAAACTGAGTTTGGCCTGTATCTTATAAAGCATGGGGGCAAAGTGGAATCCTGTATTACTGATGAGATGTTAATGGAAAGTTAAGGCAAGGTCCAACATTTCAGATGAATTACATGCACTAACCTGAACTTGCCAGCCAAATACTCAACTGAAAAGTTTCTAGTATGGTACTCTTTTAATTAAGTGTCTGCTTGCTTTTATAATCATATTATTTTATTATTTATTTGTTCCATTTCTCTGGCTGCCCACTCACTAGGCTCATCCAACACTCAGTAGCAAAGTAGCTCCTTACTAAGCTGAAGGGAATTGCATGCATTAGTGCAGCCAACAGCTACAGTAAGAAGTCAGTAGTCAAAATAAACCACTAGCAATTTAAAGGTAATAAGAGATGTCCAATTTCTACTCCAAAAATGGCAACTATGCAGTGCTTCCTACATTTCACGTTCAGAAAGAAAAATCCAAATCAACACAAAAAGAAGCTGGCTAAGTTAGAAAAATGAATATCTTTTAACAAAACTGAATTTATGGTCTAATGACCCAGAAAGGGGGGAATTAATTATGCACAGAGTGAAGGTGACAATATAAAAGACAGGCACCCTGTGACGAAAAATGTTCAGATACTGGTGAGAGAAATGTTTGACTGTAAAAGAAAAGAACAGGCTACTGAATCAGGAGACCGAAATCAAAACTCGTGGGGTGTGTGACATTTAAATTTTTGGACTGTGGGATTTAAATGGTACTTTAATAGGATATGAGTAATTCCTAAACATTTTGTAGTGAGTCATCATTTCAACTGAGAAGTGAAAATGAACCTTCCCTTTCTTAGTTACAAACTTAAATTTGTCTCATGGCTAGTAATGACCAACTGCCCATAGACTGGTGTTTGCCAAAGGGGGAAAATGGACCTCATTGCTGAAAGAAAAAAAATGGGACAAGGGAAGAAATATTCTTGATTATGGTGTGCCCTTTTAGATAAATCTCCACTGTCTGATACTGAAAGAGTGGCACAGGAAGATGATAATCTAAAACAATAGATCCCAATTTGTGGTCCATGAGGATGAGTGCTTATACAAATGTACAAATAGAAGTGGCCAACATCTTGGGATATTTTACATGTTGCCCAATATCTTGGCAGTAACATCAATATCTCATGATTTGGCCATTTCATTAGATTCTACCCATTTTCACTAAAAAAATGAATTATTATTTAAATTAGGGGACCTGCAAATTCCATTGGTGGGGCAGACATGCCATAATGCCTGCAGTTTCACATTACTGACTCTGGACTTAAGTGGTGATCTTCAAAAGCTACTGATGATGATCTAAATAGAGGGAAACACTGGTAAAAGATGTGAGGAATAGATAATACATTTATGAAGATGAAGTGGAAGAATGAAATAATTGTGGAATGCATAGCATGTTTCAAAGAGTGACATGTAGATGTTTAGGGAAAGAAACATAGTATGCTTTAATCACAAACTAATTTCAAAACAGATTGAGATCAAAAAGCTTTCCTCTACATGACATATACTTCACATATAACTCTAAGCCAGGATTTTTCACCATATTATGGGTTAGCATTACATTTGACTCAAGCAAAAGCGTTGTTTCTTATATAGAATAAAAACATTTCTTCACAAAAAAAATGAGGTCGGGGGAGAAACTCTTACCTGATCCAAGAGAGCAAGTCTGCTCACATAAGCTCTTTCGGTGTACAAAAGCTCATTGACAATTTTGTAACATTTCTCTTCATTTGTTTCCTGGAAATACATGCAATTATATTTTTATAAGACAGCTTTAAAAATGTAATTCCTACAATTTTCTGCAATCAGTTTCTGTGTTCATCAAACAATGATTCTTTCTGGCTTCCACCTAGCTTAGCCACAGGAAATTATATGAAAGACCAGTATGGCATAGAAGCAGCTCCAGGTCTATCTTACTGTGAGAAACAAAATGACAAAAGGAGTTATAAAAAACTCAAGCATAAATGCTTTTTAACATGGCCTAGGGTTTTTTTTGGCCAGTATTAGCACTGAGAGAAAGCACTAATGGTATCAATACATTCAACAAAAACTTACTATTTTGCCTGCTTGCTTTTCCATTTGAGATAAGCTCACATTACAGTGGCACTTCCAACAACTATGACCGCTTATTTGTATTTAATCCTAACATTGTAGTATAAGTAACATCTAACATCACTGTATGAAATCTTTCATTAGTCTATTTCTTACTTTCCAAGATGCTTCTGATTGTTGCACTTTTCCTTAAATATATATCTTCAAATTGTAATATCAGAAATGATGCTAACTATATCCTTGAGTCTTGTCAACAAGGAGTTCACACGTACAACTCTGCTTTGGTTAAGACAGGATAACCACTGACTAGATTCAAAGCTTCCAGAACATGCAGACTGGGTTCATATCGCAGAAACAGGCCCAGACTGCCTCAATCCACAGGTAGACCAACTTACCTGGAACCTGATGCATCTAGGGACATGGCAGTTGCCCTGATCATATCTGGGGCCACCATCTTTGACAGCATCTGAGCCTGCTTTGCAATTGCTGGCCAACAGTAATTTATTTAAAAACACATACATATGGACAATATGGTAACCCAATCACAACTGGAATCAGATAAAGATGAAATAGCGAGACACCTAAAAATCCAGCTCCTTCTGACCTGTTCTACCTCTTTTTAACCTCTGGAGTATATGTTTATGTGTGTGAATTTAGAGCAGCTCCATCTTGGCAGGACCCTTCTATTTTTTTTTACCTCTACGTCTGTCTCCAGGGACCAGAAGGGAGACCTAAACTGATATGCACCAGTTGGGCAACTTCGGGGTTTTTTTGGTGGGCCTAATATGGAAATGATTTGGTTTGCATAACATACAGAATTTCAGTAACCTGGTTACACATGTTGCGAGAACATGTCCGTATGTTCATCTATAGCTGTCATCGGCTACATCATTTACTTATTAGGGTCGATGGATTAGGGTTGCAGGACATAGTCATGAATTTTTGTTTTTCTTTCTATGTAAATTATTTTCTTGTAATACAAAACATAACAAAATCAATCTTTTCTGAATTCTTCCCATTTTATTACAGTGGCTTACTGAAAATGACCATCTACAAGGGAACTGAAAAAAAGGGGGGAAAAAGGGAACAAAAATACATGAAGTATGAAAATTAGCTCATGCATTCCACTTTAAACAAAAGATGAGATTTCTACTGCCACCACTTTATTTTCTATGGTTAGATCTGAGTCATATGTACTGCTTTAAATTTTATTTCTATAGAAGAAAATGCGTAAGGAAAGGTTGCCTTGAAGCAGAAGATTTATTTAATAGGAAATAAGTGAACAATCAGCTCCTGTATCTATTATTTTATTATACCTTCTTTCCCATCTGAAAGCCTTTTTCACAAGCATGGCCAAATTATACTAGAGTACCACCGAGAAAATCTTTGTTACAAATGCAATCAACTTCCCTTTAACAACTTCCTCCAGGCCAGTATTAGACCCACTTTGTATTATTATGCAAGTATACGAAGCAAATAGTCCACTCTAAAGCTGGTATTTGTCACACTGGACAAGACATGCAGGCTATATGCCCGTATTCTTTTTGAAGCAGAACTGCACCCACCACGACCCCAACTTGATCTTTACAGTACCATTTTAAAACTGGGTTTGAACTGCATGCGAATAGGAATGTACTCAAGAATGCTGGCTAAGACTGGGGTACAAATCTAGTTCTAAATTTCAAATTTTGGGAAAGCTGCGGTCAGCCAAGGTCATGTGATTGTCATGGGCATGTCCCCAACATCTTTCCTGCCTCCCTGTGGCCCCTGCGCCCAATCAGCTGGTGGCAAGGCCCAACGGGTAAGCAGCAATTGGCTGCTTTGGAACCGAGTCCAAAATCTGAAATATCTTAACAGCAGTGGGAGGCAAAGGAAGGACAAGGCAGCAACTTGGATACCTGCTGGTGAGGTAGGGCTGGTTGAGCGATGCCAGCAGTCGACAGGTGAGTCTTCCTCCTTCCTGGAGAGAGGTGGCCCTTGGGGACGCACCAGAATGAGGAGTAGGGGTGCAGTTTTCTTCATGGTCCACAGCTCCCTTGACTCCCTCTCCCCCCCATGGCAGGCAGTTCCGCAGGTCAGCCAAAGAGGAGGAGGAGGAGGCTTCACCAGGGCTCTGCTGAAGGTTGTGAAGGGAGAGGAAATGGCACCAGCCTGATTTTATGTGGAAAGAAGAGTGCTTCCTGCCAGTTTCCCACAAGTCAATAGGGAAGCCAGCAGGAAGTGTGAACTCTTCTGAGGTGATGATGGCACCATATATCTTAGGGATTTAAATCTGGCAAAGTTGTGGCTGGGACCCACTACTTCCATGGGATTGAAATTTGACAAAACCATTTCCAATGCTCCCTGCCAGCTTCCCACAAGGAAAGTCACTGGGGAAGGTGGTAGGAAGTTGGAAGTCACTCTCCCACTGCTTTTTTGCCTGCCCATGGTCATTCTGTTTCTCTGTTTAGGTAAGGAAATATCTCTGAAACTATGACCCATTGGGTCACGGGCTGTCTAGTTATCAGATAATAATTTGATATTTTGGTTCACCTTCCTGTGTTAGTAGGCAGTCAGAACAAGGTACTGATATTAATACCCACAGAAGGTCAAAAGAAGCATTCTGGCCATTTAGAGAAATCAGGAGGAGTTTTTATGTTGAGCAGCACACAGGAATGTCTACTCTATAACCAACTGAAAAGGGCACTTCATAACAAACTCCCCCAGGATTTCTCCTTAACAGCTGCTTCAATATCCAGATTAACAGTGATACCAAATATATCATTTCTCCCACTTTCACAGGAAGGGCACTTATTCCACAGCACTTGCCCTGTTTGAACAGAATGCACACTCCTATACAGAGAGAGAAACAATGGGCAATTTCACACAGCTATCACCTGCCCCCAAACCCTCAAAGCCATTATCACAAAAGCCCACAATTGTACTGACTGCAGCCACTGTGGGGCCAGAGATGAACTTTGCTCCCTCCAGCTCACCTATAACAGAAGGCATCAATTGTTTCTGACCAACAAATATTGCACCCTGGTTTTGACTTGCTTGTGTGAATTTCTTAGCTAATTCACAAGGAAAGAAAAGGAGATCAAGGGGGAGGCAGGCCCTGGGAAGAGCCTCAGCCAATGGGATACTGCCTGCTTCAAAACTGGTAGAGTTCAATATTTTGGAAAACTGAAAATCAGGTGTCCCAAGAGGATGTCAGTGCTGAGGCACAGTGATGTCCCAGGAGCAGCCCATGTTCAGGTGGAAAGGCCCCAGTAGCTAGACTTATACAATGAAATACAGGTAGTCCTCACTTATTGACCACAATTGAGATCGGCAACTCCGTTGCTAAGTGGCACGGTCATTGAGTAAAATCTCATGTGACCGCACCGATTTACGACGTTAGTTCCAGCTGTGGTTGTTAAGCGAATCACTGTGTGTTGTTAAGCCTGGCATCACGTGGCCATGACTTGTAACTTCCTGTGGCTTCCCCAGTGACTCTGCTTGTCAGAAGCCAGCTGTGAAGGTCATAAATGCATGCCAGTCGCCAAGCGCCCAAATCACAATCACGTGATGCAATTCTGAAGACCAGTCATAAGTCTCCTTTTTCAGCACTGTTGTAACTTCAAAGAGTCACCGAACAGGTGGTTGGTAAGCAAGGACTACTTGTAAAAGAAAGGTCTCCATTCAAAAAGCTCTCCAATGCAATCTAATGAAAGGCTGTATCAAATTTCTGCAAGTCGAAGAATATGAGGAACACATACCAAAATGATACTTGTGACAATCAGAGGCTTCTTTACAAAACAAAGATGATGTTATTTTATTAATATACTGTACAAATCACTTTTTTGTACAATCCGGGCCTCTTACCTTTGTCTCTGTGTTTGGGTCCCGCTGACTGCCTTGCTCAACCCGCTTCTCTTCCTTATTGGCAATCATTTCTCCAGCTTCTTTTACAGATGGAAAGGTATTTGCACTGGGAGCCCAGTGGTAGCTCTTGATTTTTTGCCCCTTGCAAGCTGCTGTAGTTGGCAGTGAGTCCGTGCTAGTATTCCCTCTTTCTCCATTTACCAAGCTGCTATCAAATGCATCACAGTCATTTTGGGTGCTTCTGCAGGCACGGTGGACAGACCACTTGTCTTGGCAGTCCAACTGATTCTGTGCTATTATGCCATTGGCTGTGTGGTTCTGTACATCCTGAGAGTGACCTCTACTGTTTCCCTGCTCGTGTAGGGGATGCTGGGTGAGGAATTTTGGCTGAGGTGATGGCACTGGTCCATACCTTCCTTGAGGTTTACCAACATTTAAAACAGAAGGTTCTTTCTTCAGCTCACTAGGAACGGATGGGCTAAAGAGAATAAAATACAGAGAATAAAATACAGAGACTGCATGCTGATGTATAAATATACATGCAAAATTAGTATAAAAACCAAAATAATACCCTAATCAAGGAACCATCAAGGAGAAAACCACACAAACTACTTGTATATAACAGGGAGCAAACCCCACGCTCACTCGCACTGATGATACTACCTAGTTGAGTAATGAAATGTCTGCAAGCCAACAACCAAGCTCAGAGAGCACCAAGGACTCTCTGCACCAAGGATAGTATAAAAATGCAATTGTGACACAGAGTTAGATTCACTCCCAACAGAAATCTTATTACACATGGAGGCAAGGACTGAGATTGTTCATTTGACTGAAATGAGGAATGTCTGGCTTGTGTTTACCTGCAGGCCTGGCCTTTTCTGCAGGTTTTCTTTCTTTCTTTCTTTCTTTCTTTCTTTCTTTCTTTCTTTCTTTCTTTCTTTCTTTCTTTCTTTCTTT